GCCTTTCATCCTCTCTCCAGGTTCATAGGGTTTCCAGAGGCAAGCTATTATGGAAGTGGATGCCACTCCTCCTTCCACACTTGAGGTATAGGGCCATATAAATCATGTGTGTAGATTGCTAACAGGGGAATTGGTCAATGTTCTGCTGTTTCCTGGTCCAAGTATAGGTTTCACATGAGTGCAGTTTTGTGTTTTGGAATCCCTGTTTTCCTCAAGGTTAGCCACAGTTTGTTGTGAACCACACAGTCAAGTGCCTTTGCATAGTCAATGAAACAATATATTCATCTGCTACTCTTTGAAAGTCTCCTCTTAGGGACCTCTCCAAAGTACTGAAGAGCAATGGTGTCTCTCTGAAGACTAAGGTGCATTTGATACAGGCCATGGTCTTCGCAATCACTTGTTTCCCCACTTAACTGATATTATTGCCTTGTCAAAAATCAGTTGACCGTAGGTAGATAGGCTAATTTCCGTGTTCTCAGTTCTATTCCATTGATCTATGTGTCTGTCGTTGTACCAGTACCATGTTGTTTTAACCACCAAGGCAGTGTAGTAGGATTTGAAATCAGGGAGTGAGATACCTCCTACCTTTTTTCTCTTTTTAAGGAGTGCTTTAGTTATTTGGACCTTCTTTCCATTCCAAATGAAACTGAGAATTGCCTTTTCCATCTCATTGTAGAATGTGATTGGTATTTGTATTGGGATTGCATTGAACGTATAAATTGCCTTTGGTAGTATTGCCATTTTCACAATATTGAATGTTCCTATCCATGAGCAAAGGATATTCTTCCACTTCTCCAGGTCTCTTTTTGTTTCTTGTAATAATGTTGGGTAATTTTCTTTGAATAGATCCTTTGTGTTTCTGGTTAGATATACTCCCAAGCATTTAATCTTGTGATTCACTATTGTGAAGGGCACTGTTTCTCTTAGCTCCGGCTCTGTATTCTCTCTGTCACTGGAGAGAAATCCAACTGATTTTTATATGTTGATCTTGTATCCTGCTGCTTTGCTGAATTGATCAACTATGTCCGATAGTTTTCTTGCTGAGTCTTTAGGGTTTTCTAAGTATACTATCATATCATCTGCATAAAGAGATAATTTTACCTCCTCTCTGCCAATTTGGATACCTCTTATTTCTTCCTCTTCTCTTATTGCTATCGCTAAGACTTACAATACAATATTGAATAGGACAGGTGATAGTGGGCATCCTTGCCTAGGTCTTGTTCTTAAAGGGAAAGCCTTTAACCTCTCTCCATTGAGAACAATGTTGGCTCTCTGGTTTTAATAAATACTTTTTACTATGTTGAAGAAATTCTCCTCTAATCCTCTTTTGTTGAGTGTTTTAATTGATTAAAGGAAAGGGTGGTGGTTTTTGTCAAAGGCCTTTTCTGCATCAATTGATAGGCTCATGTGGTTCTTGTTCTTTGCTTTGTTAATATGATGAATGACATTAATTGTTTTTCTTATGTCGAACCACCCTTGCATACCTGTTATGAATCCCACTTGGTCATGATGAATTATTTCTTTGATGTATCATTGGATTCTATTGGCTGGGGGGTTGCTTGTTTTTATTGTTATGCTGTGAGCATGCACATCAGGTTTTTGTGTGGATATCTGTCTTCAGTATTCTTGGCTATATATTTTAGAGTGAAATTGCAAGGAATTCTGGTGGTTGATATGTGGAACAGATCATTTGGCAGGTTGGTCTCTGTGAGGAGCCATGTGGCATCAGGATTGGAGGAAGACTTATCAACAGTCTACATTATGCAGATGGCACAACCTTGCTTGCTGAAACTGAGGAGGACATGAGGCACTTGCTGCAGAAGGTCAAGGACTGCAGCCTTCAACTGAATTGAAGCTCAACATCAAGAAAACAGTGATTCTCACCACTGTACCAATTAGCAGCATCATAATAGACAGTGAAGAGATTGAGATTGTTAACAGTTTCAGTTTGCTCTAATCAACACTCTTGATAACCTGCAGACAGAAAGTCAAAAGACAAATTGCATTGGGAAAGTCTGCTGTCAGGTACTTCTCCAGAGTACTGAAGAGCAATGATGTCAGTCTAGAGACTAAATTGCATCTAATCCAGGCCATGTTTTTCGCAATTACTTGCTATGCATCAGAGAGCTGAACAATGATTAGGGATGACAGAAAAAGAATCAATGCCTTCGAGTTATGTTGCTGGAGAAGAGTATTAAATATACCATGGACTGCTAAAAGAGCAAACAGGTATGTCCTCGAGAGGGTGAAACCAGGCTACTCCTGGAGGCAAGGATTTTGCAGCTTTATCAGATGTACTTTAGGCATGTTGCAAAGAGGGATCAGTTCTTGGAGAGGGACAACATGCTTGAAAGAGTAGAGGGATAGTGCAAGAGAGGAAGACCCTGGATGAGATGGATAGATTCAGGTACTGCGGGTGAGTGTAGGGGTGTCAGAGACAATGAAATTGGCTTATTATAGAAAAGGGTTCAGAGCTGTTGAACGTTGGGTGGCTATCAGTCATCTACTCGATGGCACATAACAACTGGAGGTTTAGTCCCTAGCATGTTATGCTGCTAATCAAACAATATGAGTTTCTGGAAGTTTGACTCTATCATAGCAGTAAATAAGGATTCCAATTTCTCTACATCCTAATTAACACTACTTGTTACTATCTTATTCGTCTTCTTTTTTTTTTTTTTGTAAAGCCATTGTAATGGGCATGAAGTATTATTATCATTGATTTGCCTGTGGGGTTTTTTCCATTCACAAGAGGTCACTGTGTGTTTAACTTTTTTTTTTTAGGTCTACTTTTTTTTTAATTTTTAATAGTATTTGTATGAAAGTTTACAGAGAAAATCAGTTTTCCATTTGACAATTAATATACATATTATTTCATGATATTGACTGTAATCCCCACAATGTAAAGCACCCTTTCTCCTTCCTCCCCTTGTATCCTGCTTCCATTCATTCTATTTCCCTACCCCTTCTTGCTTCTTTTTAAATTTTTTAATTTAA